TTTTACTTCCCTGAAGATTTATATATCTTTTTTAAGTTGGTTGGTTGGGTTTTGTTCTTTTAATACCTGGGAATACCTAAACAATTTGGAGCTATGTGTTATGGTGGAATAAAGACTGAGGTGTTTTTTCCAATACAAAAAGTTTTAATCTTTTAGTTTAGGATTTGAGACTTTGATTAGGCCTCCATATTTCTTTCTAGAACTCATTCCCTACCTTTCTTTTATTGGAATATTTTGGAATATTTAAGCCTAAGATGCCAACGTGTACCTTGTGCCCTGAGAGCATCTTGAATTGTTTGCTCATGTCTTTTCCCCGTTTGGAGTGTCTTTTAACTCCTCTTCGACTGTCTGATTCCACTCAGTGTCTGAGGCTCAGTTAGTTCTCACCTTCTTGATGTTCCCTGTAATGTATTTCTATTTTGCTTTCTCAGTTAGGTTATAAGCTCACTGAGATCACCTACCTTGCCTTATCCTTTCTTATAAGGCCCATGCTTCCTATCACAATGCTTTTTATAGAAGAACTCATTAAATATTTATAGGTTAGAATGATTGATTGCCAATTTCCTGATTATTTGTATTTGCATTGAATTGTAAATCAGAAATTTTTATATGTTAACCATTGTCGAGTATCCACACACACTCTTACGTATTTATTTGTATGTACTTACACAATCACAAACATGTGTATTACTCTTTCCACTTTTGTGTTTTAACACCCATACTTTAAAAATTTGTGGTATGGATTTGCTTTTGATTTCTGAGTTAAGAAATAGGTTTAGAAGCAATTACATAGCACTTGAAGATAATTGATTCTTTTGCTTGTAAAATACACCACAGGAGTCCAAACTTTCATTTCATAATGACAGTTTCCAGCTTGGCGAACTCAGGCTGCACCTTATGGCCTCTGGAGGGAAGATGTTTAAGGATGGCTCAATGAATGTCAACCTTAAGCTTAAGACATGCACCCTTGATGATCTCAGGGAAGGAATTGAGAGAGCAACATCAAGGTTTGTCATCTCTGAACTTGCTGTACATTATGTAAGGCTGGCGTTGCACCTGGCATGGCTGCCAGGCATTGATCGCTGGGCTTGAGATTGTCTGAAGGGGTCTCATGATCATCCTTTCTGGGATCCTGTTCCTTGGGGTTATCAGAAGAGGTCTTTGGTCATATTTCAGTTTGAAGTGCATCATGAAGTATTGCTGTTTCACATTCTGTTGCTTTAAAGTTTGAATTAAAGGGAAGTTTAGTAATAAAATCCTGTCTTAAAAGTGGAAACTAAGAAAATACAAGAATTTTAATAATTAAATCCG